CAACTCCAAACGTGAGCGATATCATCCCCCCCCTCCCTCCTCCCTCCGCCTTCCCCTCCCTCCTTCTCTCCCTCTCTCTCATTCTCCTGCTCCTTTTCCTTCATTGCCACGGCCACCGGGACCCGTCCTCCATCTCGGGCTTTTCATTCTTCACCAGACGTCTGCTCCGCTGGATTCTCCAACTTTGACGCCGTCTCTGGAATATCGGACTGAGGGAATTCCCGGGGCTGTGGAGATCTGATCTGAAGACGGGAAGGATGGAGGGAAGAGCCGGGGAAGAAAGGGGTTCCTCTCTCTGTCTGAACCGAGGCTTCCTGTGTCTCCGGGATTGGACCCAGGACTCCTGAGGGGAATCCGTAGTGGGACAAAAACAGAAACAGATCTGAGAAGAGATTCCTGTGGTCGTCACTTTGGGACTGGACGCTAAGCCTCTTCCTCTCATGGGTCTCCATAAGCGGAATGCCCGGAGACAGACGTTTTTCCCGGGAAGCCCCGCGAAGCGTGCCGGATAAGCTGGTGAGCCCTTTTCCCTTTGTCTTCACTTCCATTTGACAGCAGATTTGAACGTGGGTGAGGTGGACATTCAGATGTCAGATAAAGATTCAAATGCTAGCGTAGACCAAAACAAGCCCCCAGAGGTTCCAACTTCTACTTTCAGGGCTAATTACTTGAAAAATGGCTGTAGTGGGCTCTTGAATTCGACTTAATCTGGCATGGGAAATCATTCCTTGGTGTCGGTTGATAGTTTCTTTGCAGGCAGTCCGAAGACGGGGTTCAAAACTCTCTCTCAAAGGCTCTCTGGACGATTAGCGTTTTTGCTAGCTTTTACCGTCTATGGAAGTGGCCACATACGAACATGAGCTTCCTCCTTTCTTGTTCCAGATCAATGCCCCTCTCTCAGGGTAGGAGAGGCGCGGGACCATGGGCACCACCGTCGTCACCCTGGAGGACGTGCGGGCGCTGGAGGCCAAGGACGAGCAGGAGGAGTCGGTCCTGGCCCTGCTGGGCATCGTCGGCACCTTCCTCAACCTGTTCGTGATCGTTTTCGTGTACATCTACACCACCCTGTGAGCTGGACCTCGGACAAACGGTGGAGGGACACATGCGGAGAAGGAGGTTTGACGCCTGTGGCATGGAGGGGAGGAGGACAGAGAGCGAAGGGGCTGAGGGTGAAAGGGAGGAAGCCAAAGCTCCACGTCACCGCTCTCTGCTGGGGAGATAACATATGCTGCAAATAGCCACGCCAAGGTCCCAGGGAAAGGCAACTTTTGGAGGTATTAGGGATGGGACGGTTTCTGAAAACTGTCTGAACCGTTGGGTTCTGTCTCGGTTGGGTTGGCGTGTGTTGCGTTCGGTTCATGCTGCTCCTTTTTCTCAGAGGGAAGCGTTTACACTCCAGAGCAGAAGGGGG